TATATCTAATGCATACGCCAGATAATTCTGCAGCACTGACAGTGAGGGGTGTATCCACAGAAAATCCAAGATAAACTGGATGAACCTGATTTGAGGGTGATCCATCTTCCAACACATAGAAATTTTGGAGTAAGTTTGTCAATGCGTGCTTTCCTACAAAACAAATGTGTCCTACAACTGGGAGATGCAGATGCCACTTCCCTCTATTCAATGTCAAGGAGCTGCTCACCTGTAACAGGATAGAAGGATCATTTTTGTTCTGGCCACATCACTGTTCTCCCTTGGACCAAGCAACAAGAGCTCAGCATTGTCATTCATGACTGCTCCCTTACTTCACAATCCTGTTCTATCACCCAGAATAAGAAACAGGGCTCAAGCTCTTCACATGAAACTAAAATTGACAACTAATGCCACAATCTTACTTGTTTTTAAGAGTTTGCACTTTTTGTTACTTTTTTAATTCACTAGAAAACTAAATACAAGTACTTATGGAAGAGGTTATGCACTGACACTCACTTTAGCCTCTGTATTGTTGCTGTTAATGAGCACCACTAACAAGAAAGCTGCCAAAATGCAGACTCTTTGCTACTTACTCTACACTAATGTAAAGATGAAAGCTAAGCTGGATAAATTCAATTACTATGCACTTCTCTTTTATTTTTCCTGATAACACCTGCTTTTCTTCACAAGTCCATATTCCACAGCTGCATGTAAATCATTCTAACTTTTATAGTTTAAACTTCATGCATATTTTGTCCCAAGCCATAAAATTCTAGATTATACATATTTGAAAAGCCAAGAGAAACATCCATGGGTTCTTAAACCCTACACTCCTAACACTGGTGGGAGGGGAAGGAAGTGGTGACCTCCTAGGATTTCCTGTGGACTCCATCATTTGTTATAAAAGGCTGGGGATGATGTTGACAAGGTCAGGCAGCGTACGTGCCCGACGTGAAGGGGACATTATAACTTGCTGTGAGAGGTACACAAGGCAGTGGGATCAGAACTGGGCTTGGAAAAGAAAGTTCTGTTGTATGGAGACTCTCCCCCCCATGCTTTCTTGTCCTCTTCTGACATGTTCACCTCTTTAAAGCAGCATCAGAGGAGGAGGGCAGGGCAGAGCCATGCATGCTCATGACTTGCTGCTGCTCTAAACAGCCAGGCTACTCAAACTTACTTCAGATGTTTGTTATAAATATCATTTAGGTTATTAGCTTGAAGCAAAACTGCAGTATCCAAACTTTCTTTATTCTCCTTCCTGCCCTCAAAGCTAACCACAAGAGGATGTCTCTCCTTAAAGCAGGGCCTTTACCAAGCCAGCACACTACCAAGAACCAACAGGACAGAAAGTAAACCTCTGCAAGACCACAAGGACACAGCAATGCACAAGCCTGGGCAGCCAACAATGCATTAAACCACCATATCATCTTTAGAAAAGGACACCTATTTCCCTGGTCATTCCTGCTCAAGTGCTCAGATGAAACCCCTTACAAACTGCCTCTGCACACATTTCAATGCTGAGTTTGTCCTGTCTGCTCAGGTTTGTTTTGGGTTTTTTTGTTGGTTTTTTTTTTGGTTTGGTTTGGTTTGGTTCTTTTTCCAATTAAGGCTGTTTTTCTCTCCTCTGATACACACCTGAGCCAGACTTGCCACTTCTTTTGAGCTGCAATCCAATTGCAATATTACAGATGTAATTCTCAGATATGAAAATATTGAGAACTTAATTGCAGAGTTAACTGAGCTAAACTGCACCAGCCATACAATTTACAGAAACTTTACTGCATGGAGCTGGCATTTTCACAGGAGCCCAAACAGTTTAGGTGTCTCATGACCAGTGATTCCCAGAGAACAAGTAATTACTTTCTTCAGGCTGCTTTGAAAATCCCATCGACAACACCTACATTAAAGAAAACAAAACTGAAATAGAAACTAAAGCCCATAGTGGTGAACTTCATTAAGACCTTGAGTTCTTCCCCGTCTCAAAATTCTGATATTTGAACATCTGACTTTATAAATTCAATGTTTCACTAATTCTGTACATTTCTATTTTTAGGTTGCTACGATCCTTTTCACTAGGGAAAAATATGGGAAGAAAACAGAACTATTTATCTAGAGGACTCTACAAACTTTAGTGCAAAAGCAAAACTCGCAAAAGACTTTTTACTCACCCTTATAACAGTGCAGCCTAACAGAGTTTGAACATTTCAGTGGCTAGTGATGAAACACCACAAAGCAAGCAAAACCATAACAGGGCTAATGGAGTGCAGGATGGTCTGCTCTTTCAATGGGTTACCCCTCTGGCCTCAACCCTAAGTTTAAAGTGCTTCAATCCTCAATTACAGAGACGTTTAATTAATTCAGTAGTCACTGAAGGACTGAATTGACAATTCTGGAGAGTTATATCCCTTATTAAGTGCAAAGGGGGAAAAGCACGAGCAGGGGCACCACAGCTGACCATGCCATCCCATGTCTCAGTTCATCCAGACCTCCAGCAGAACCCACAGCTAGGCTTTCTGGGCAGAACCACCCAGAGCACCCACTGAATCCAGACAGGTGAGGCAACCAAGGGGAGATGATCTAGACACTTGCACATGAAATAATTACCTGTCCCATACAAGGGTTATACACACAAAGTCCTCTGCACAGAAGCACAAAAGAGGACAAAACAGTCCAACAGCTGCAGGTCCTCGAACCAGCCCAGCACCCAAGACAGCCTTCCAGTACCAAGAACTTCCTCAAAAAAAACTGCCTGGGTGATCACCCAGCTTAACAGACTTGATAGGAGATTCTAAACTTGCATGCAGATACAGAGGATCTTTTTCAATTATATAAATTAAATAGACACAATGTATTAATTGCTCTTTGCATAACAATGTTTTGTCTCCTGAAGACGGCAAAAAACAACCAGATATGGATGTGTAAAAATATGGATGTGTGAAAACCCAGGCTGAATTCCAAAGCTGTCACTATGAGTTAAACCCTTTGCTTCAGTACAGTTCTCCTAAGTATCTGCATAATAGTCTACTCCTCTCACTGTTTTTCTTTATATCTTGACAGCAGAAAGTCTTCAGGGTGGGGGCTTCTGCAAACAATTCTAGGCATGTTTGCACAGTGATTTGTAAAATGAGGTCACAGTCTCAGGTGGGACATTTATGTGCATTACTGAAGTACCCCAGTAAGAGAAAAATAAGAATGGAAACTACTAAAAGTCAAAACTATGCTGAACTGGGTGGGGAGCGCACATCAAGATGCTTTCTGGGCATTTAAACAGGATATAGGAATGTACTTTAAGACAAAATCAGTTGTCATAAGACAACTTAAAAGCTTTTAATTGAAAAGCAAGTTGTGTATCATGGGGTATTCACATCACTGGAGATACCCACTAGTTCTCATTGATCACAGAAAGAAAGTTTCCCCAGATGCATGTTAATTAATATATAAGAACCCCAAAAGCGTCATCTGGCAACCCACCAACATACAGCAACAAAAACTACATTGTTGGGGGAATGATATTTAAAAGTAGCCATTTGGGGCAAAGTATCCTTGTAAAGACTATTTTATTTATTCTAACTTTTTCTGTTAAAATATATATCTTTATGACAGTAAAATAAATCATACATGCAGCTATTTTTGGCTGAAAGTGACAATGTATTCGCACACAACTATTGCTTTCTCCTATAAATTTGTGGCTCTTTGTCAATTCATGTCCCTAGGAAGCAAAAGATTCTCATGACACACTGTCACTTGGCAAGTCAGCTCCTCTTTAAAGTTACTACAACCTGCACAGACTTGGTGTCCCTTCATATTTTAGTCTTCAAAGATCCATATGTCCAAAGCGTAGAATTCAAAACTGAGGGTATATAAAGAATTACTCTTTCAAAAGAAGGAATTCCTCAACTTCTCAAAATTCTGGTATACATGCACTGTCAGTTCTTGTTGTTCCTCATGTTCCACGTCAGTATTGGTATGGACTGAGAGGTAAAGCTCACAGCAGTAAATCTAACTGCTCCCCAGGATGGCTGCTCTTTCCTCATCTGGCTTCTTACCTGGCTGTGAAGTTCCTGCACTGGAGCAACCACAGCTATTACTACAATCACAGCAGGCCTGGCAGACAGGCAGTTCAACATCATTATTAATTAAGCCACATAACATTCCTACACAGCAAGTAATATTGCACTCCTTTTCAGATACAAAAGGAAAGCACAGATAACTTATCCATGCCTTGTTCCTTATCCACCTTGTGGGAGTGCCAAAATCAAAACCTCAGAGTTCTTGTACTACTCCTCTGTTCTCATTACTATATGCCAGATTAACTGTTTCTGTACATCACATGACTTTGAAAATGCAAGAAATAGGATACTTCCAAAATAAGATTCCCTCTGACCCTGCCATATCTAAGAATTTAGAGGGCTAAAACTAAATGTTGCAGGTTCTAAGCACTTATACAGATAGAGCAGACATAATTTAACAGTCTTACCATAAAAACTATTCTTATAACATTAAGCAGTTCTTGTGCTGTCTGCAAAAATTTATGACTGCACGTTTGTGTGAATTACTAGAAGGGGATGAAGAATTCTTCTGCACGTTTTTACAATCCCCGTTCCAAATCAGCAGCTGCCAAACAGGAGAGTTAGGTCTGAAAGTATCAGTACCCAGCAAAATGCAGGAATTTATTCTAAGTATGACTTTGCAGCCCCCACATTCTAGGTTTTTTTGAGGAGAAGCTACATTAATTTTCTTGTCAGACCTGGTTTGGTTCCTCAGCAGTCAGACATGGCACACTTTCCCTGCCTGCTGACTGTGCCTTAATGAGAGCTGGGATGTGGGGAGCATGCATTTACACATTTCATGTTTATGATGAAATGCTGAATTTTGCAGTATCCTTGACACTTGCCCATTGGGTTATTAAGCCCATGGCCACTAAAAGTAATGGAAGAAATTCCTGACAACATACCATCCTGTAAGTGATGGCTCAGTTTCCGTTATATACTGACTCTTACCTGTCAAGGAGTAGTTCTAGTACTTCCTTAGTAGAAGAAAAGGCCCGGTATGTTGACAGAAAGATACTGATGTAGGTAAAATCATTATCCCCAAAAGCTGTCAGAAGATTCTCCACAAGTTTGTCTAAAGTTCCAGCTTTGATTGTCCTAATCTTGAATGTTTCATACTGGTTGACTGTGTGCTCTGGAGGTAATTGGTCCCCTTCGACCTACAAAGGTGAAACAAAAATAAAGCACAAAAATGAGACAGAAGCCAAATCCCTGACACTGTTTCACAATTATACACGGTTTAGGTTCCATCTTTTCACAGGAATACATCTTTAGTTACTAAGCAATTTTGTCAATTTTTGCTTTCCGAACACCAAATTTTGCATCAAATAAGGGAGGGTTTTAGTAAGTTTATCTTAAAATATTTTGTGGAGCGTGTCAGAAAAATACCTTAATAGTCTGACTGTTATCATGTTATCTTATGATCAAATCATATATTGTTAGCTTAAAGAAAATCCATTATCCCACAAAGAATAATATTACTGGAGAGAATAATAGTGGTAACTCAGCATCTCACTTAGCTTCTGAATAAACATGAAAACTGACCACAACTTTAGCCATCAGCATTTGCTGAAAATACCACCTTTGGGTTGCCACATAGAACATAAGCTCATAAACACACACAGATGCAAAGCATTTAATGAACCTTTTGCAAGGGGGGTGTTCAAGTCATCTTGCAAACTTGCCATCATAACATTCCCATTTTCTCTTACAGCTTCTGTTTGGTACAATATTTGTCAACAAATCTAGAGTTTGGTGTTGGGGGTGCATGTATTTTTTAAACAGAATTTGAATTTAATGCTTCGAGCCTGGTTTGTATCTGAAATGACAAGAAATACTCCCTTAAATTCTGCCACTATTCAGAGGACAAGTCAGAAAATTAGTTTTGTGATTAGTTTAAATACTTAAGTATGTGTGATAAACAGCTTTAAAAATGGCATTAGAACTAAAAAAATGTCAACAAGACCAATCAAACAGAAGATTTCTTTCTACCTTTTGAGATGTCTGTCTCTGGGAAGGAACATTTAGACACTAATGGAAGACAGGTTGAACTCTACAGTAACTTTTATTTGTATTTACTGAGTTTAGAAAATATTTCTAAGGCAAGTCTTGTACCTAGGTAGGATTGATGGCATTATGCAAAGGAAAAATCTGTCCATCGTGAAATATTTCAAGACTGTGGAAAAATCCCATCTTTAATCTTTTTAGGTTAGATATCTCAGTAGGAAAATTATATAAGAAATAAACTTCTACTTGGGCATGAACACACCACAGTCCAGTTTACTCTTTGCATCACCAGTTCTCCTGCAATATCAAGACAGAAACTAAGGAGTTTAACCCATTTTCATTGCAGTATTATTCCACTGCAGATTTCCTCCCAACATACAGCAAACTTTCAGTGAGGACTACTGTGATGGTTCTCTGCTGAATCACAACCTCCACCTCCTAGGTAACAGCCTCTGCTGTATCATGATACCAGAGAGTACCAGTATATCTTTAGGTCAGATTTCCCAGGCTTACAGTAATATTTTAACAGCTCTTTTGGGTTTTGAATATTGAGTATTTATACAGATTAAAAGTTACCACTAAGTAACAACACAATGCATATTTTGGCTTTCTCCATGGTTCCTTCACAACATATCCCAAATTCAACCTGATGAAGCACAACCAGGACTGAATGTGAAGTGCAGATATACAGTCAGTTTGACCAGAACTTTTGGTCCAGAAACTACCTACTAAGGTATGAGTTAGAAACAACAAGGCTAACAATATTGCAACATTAACACAAGACCTTGGTACTAGACTGAGGATATGAAGACAGCACATTCATGACTGACAGTCACTACCCCCTCTGGCTTGGTACACTGAGAAAACACGAAAAATATTCCCCTACTCATAAAATAATTAGGAACAGATAATCCACCCACTTCATATTTATATCACAACCTTCCAATGCATTTGAATTATTTATAATGCTATCCTTTTTTGTCTTAAAAAATATAGACGTCCTTAATATTACTCTAAAGGTCTGCTACTCTTGCATGAGGACATCTCATCTCCCAGCTTAATGAGGTCCAACAAATTCTTGTTGTTACATTAAAATACAAACTGCTGCCTTTATAAAAAAAAAAAAAGAAAGACTAGATGGGAAAAGAAAAAATAAGAATGACAGCAGTACCCCATAACATTCTGGACTTTCTAACAAGAAGGGGGCCTGGGCACAGGTGTATTTTGGCAGAAAAGTGCCTCTGCCTCTGTAGGAAGCCCTAGAAGATCCAGGAGCATCTTGTAGGCTCAAGATACAAGGACCCGTCAACAGACTGTAGAGTGTAGACAGTAGGTATGCAGAGGTCCTAGGAAACTTGCAGCCACCTCTCAAGTGCAAAATGGCACCATTTATTACTGAGTTTAAGCCACTGAAAGAAGCCATTCCCAGAGGCCCTTTTCTGTGCACCTGCTACAAGCAAACTGGGCTGGGAAAGTCCTCCAGCCAAAACAGAGCTCTTCATTTCACTCAGGTGGGTTCAAGTTTAACCCAGACAAGTTGCCCAACTTTGCTCACCCCACAGCTGCAGAAACACTCGGGCGGACAGAGGGAAAAGAAGCTTGGGCACAAGCTGTAAGACAATTTCAGAGGCACCACAGGTTCCTGTCTGTTCAAACAGGCTCTGAAATTACAGACTGGGTAACTTGGTCTTGTGTCATGAACCCATTGATGGCTTTGATAAACAGACAAGGTGATGCCCAGAACTACTGTACCAAACTCCACCGTTACCCCAATGCAGCCCCACAGGGAATGAATGCAATTACACCAGAGTTAACTTGTGAAATTTTGTTCCATGGATCTTATGGCCATTTTAAAGGTGTATAATTCATTACATACTTGACTTAAAGGTCTATATAGAGTTATCTACACCACCATCACAGAAACACCTAAAAGGATGTGTTCTTACTGCCACTACATTATCTCCTCCATTCAAATTTTCCCTAAGCAGAACTTGCTTGGAAAAAAAGCAAAAAAGAATATTAAATTTTATTTCTGACTTTTCATCTTGCGATTAAAAGATATTTTTGAAAATAACTAGTTACATAACTTTCCATCAGGGAAGAAAGTCTGTACTGCTATATTTAACACTTAATTTTCTATCCAGCAGATAGCCCCACTCACACTGTATTGACTTACAGCCATATTCTACTCAGTGTGTGTAAAAACCTCTCATTCACTGATGTCACTGTGTACTAAACAAGAGCACAATCTGCTTCCAAGATTGATACATGCACAAAATTTTCCACTAATTGCAACACTGCAACTTCCCCAAGACAGCATGTTGGGAGAATGTTAAAAAAAAACCACCCCCCAAAAAAAAAAAAAAAAAAAAAAAAAAGAAACAAAAACACAACTCCGAACCCTGAAAAATCTACAACTGATTTTGTCAGCAAATCATTAAACTGCCAGAAATCATTTTAAGAGACTTTTAGTCATTGTTTGTGTTTGTATTATTTTATCAATTCTGCCTGCAAGTTTAAAAGGAAAAAGGACTTGGCAGAGGAGCTCTGTAACAGACTTTCAGAATAAGATATTGTGGGCTGAGTTAGCGTGCTAACAGGAAACTGCTCAGTCTGGATTTAATCAAGAGGCCATCTCTTCACTGACATAACCAGGCTACCCAAAGGCAAAAGAGGCTTCATGTTTGCTTTTGTGTTGTCTGCTCGGAGGAATACTGTATCTACTGCTATTAAAAGATGTTCCTAAAGCTCTTTGCAAGTTTTGACAGGGCATGTGGTCCCAACATCTCGGAGCTTCAGTAAGATTTTTTTGGTCCTTTACAAGGCTAAAAATAAATATGTCATTTTAAAGTCTGATTTATTTTATGTTTTTTAAAAGGTCTCACTTTAATTTTTCAGGATTACAGCCTTGGTAATTTACAAGTATAACTGATGAGCACATAGTCTCCTGACAGATAGACAACATCTTCCAAAAGCAAAGGTAGAAAGGTTGAACTGAGAAACTTTCTTTAAAGTCTGTATTTTTTGAGGTTGTGTGGGAATAGAGCTAGTGTCATTGTAACATCTTCACTAATCCTCTGCAACGCCGTACCTTCAGAGGGGCCCACTCTCTTTTAAAGCGATCATCTTTCAGCTATACAGCACAAAACATTACCCATGTATACAGTTCTTGTTGAAACAGTGGAGCCCCATGCAGGCTAAAGAAACATTCAGGCTAAGAAGCTCCTCCAAACACACACCGACTGCTAAACCAGCAGCAGATGCCTGGACTGACGGAGCTGTGACCCAGCTCCAGGCTGGCTGCCGAAGCCACACGGCCTCTCAGTGACTCACCCTGGCGCTGTGAACGCGCGAGGCAGCCACACACACAATGGCAGGATGAGGAAAAGATACGAGTATCAGCATCACAGCCAACAGACCTCTCTGCTACAGCCACCAACACAGGGCTCGAGTAAGCTGGACCTAAGCTACAAGCAGCTTGTAACCAGCATAGCTTGTTACTAGGTGTCTAAAAGCAGCATTGCTTTGTGAACCTGGCGAGGCACCATGTGCAGCCTTCGATGCCACAATCTCTATTTCCTATTAGTCCTTCTCTACAAGAACTGGACAAGATATGCTGATCTCTGGACATTTTGCCTACTGACAACAGGAAAATAAAACGTCCATGTGCCCCAAATTTGCCAGCTATTTCACTCAGTTTGACAGCCAAAATACAAATCTGGATCACAGAATCATTAAGGTTGGAAAAGACCTACAAGTCCAACCATCACGACCACTAAACTATATCCTCAGGTGCCACATCTACACATTTTTTGAACACCTCCAGGGGTGGTGACTCCACCACCTCCCTGGGCAGCCTTTTCCAATGCCTCACCCACACTTTAAGTACAGAAATTATTCCAAATATCCAATCTAAACCTTCCCTGGCGCAACTTGAACCCATAAAGCCTTGTAGCCCAAAGGTACAAACGCTACCTTGTTAACTTTCAATGGGATTATCAATTAATTATAAACTTCACCATCTCCTAAATTAATGATACATCCTAGCAAGGAGTAGAGACTCAAGGTGAAAAGCCAGTTCAGATTCTGAGCAGTACAAAAATAGGCTGCTAACCAAATAATGATATACAGAATTGTAGTCATTATTTCAGAA